GGAAACTCATTTACAGTGAATGGACAGCGTGTAAAGCCATATCTGGCTGAAGAAAGCGAAGACGAGAGAGAAGTGATGTTTTTGATTGATCCATCATCGGCCAATAATGAGACCAAGGAGTGTCACGATGCAGGTTAAGTCTAATCGAACCACAATGTCAAGCTAACGACTTGAAACAAGCGCTTAGTGGGAGGCAACCCACTTGGTATTTTATCTATTTCCCGTTGACCTTTATTTTCTATTTCCATTGCTTTGTTTCTGTTTCATTTAATTTCAGGTTTTCAATAAGGAAGAATAGATTCAAAAGACGAGCAGCACTCTCCAGCACGATAAGTTCACTTAAACATTTAAACTTTTCTATTTTCTTTACCATTCTTTCCAAGATTTATCACACTAAGGACAGTGTGAAATAAGTCTGGAGGAGGATGTTCATCCGTTACTAATGACATTTGATTTGTTTTGAGTTTGTTTTGGACACATAAAATTTTTCAAAAAGTTTTTCATAAATTTTTTCAAAAATCGTTTTCAAAAATGTTTTTCAAAAATTTTTCAAACCAGGAACACAATAAACAATACTATGATGAATTAGACCAGTGTGCTTCTACGCTATTTCCTCGTTTTTTGCTCTTTTGTGATTTAGGCCTAGACTAGGCGGTAGCTAAGTACTTGCATTACGAAATCCCACCAGAGGACTTCTATTCAAGGAGATTCTTTCTGACAGGATATACTAGCTCATTTTATTTGACCTTAATATTTACATTTAATTTTCTCATCATTGATTTTAGGCAGGCACCGACATACACATCTAGGACATCTTTTACCCTCACTTTTACCACTCTTTGTCGTCCTAGATGACCAGTTTATCTTTATCTGGTACCATACCCTAAACCTAAAACCCTTGTTTTTAATCCTCGTGCATTCTCTCTTTAGTTTATATCAGCAGATATGTGCAAAAACGTCGGAGAGAAAAGGAGCGACGCAGTTTTCAGTCACTCACAAAGGAGACTGAATGGAATTGGGAAGGAAGAGTATCAGAAACATCAAGAAGCTTAACAAGACAAATCTTAACTGGTAATTTCGTGCTCTCTAAGACTCTATATCTAAAGGTGTTCCCTCTCTTTTAAAAAAAAAAAAAAAAAAAAAATTAAAAGAGAGAGGGAAACAAAAAGCCTAATGAGTCCTAGATTGTCGAAATTTTTGGAGCAAGAAGAATCTACTAAGCGTTTATAGAGCTATGTTTTTGAAAGATTTACAAAAATCTAAGTCTGGGGGAGTTAGGAGAGAACCTGAGGAAGAAGGCCAGTAATCTATAGCAAGAAGAAAGTGACTGAAAACTGTGGATACCAACAGCTTCACTCTCTCTTGCGGTTTTGCATAATATCTTGCATCCTCCATATTCTTCAGGTAACCCTAAACACCTAAGCTCCACCACTTAAATAGCCTTAATGTCAAACGCCGTCTACCCTGAATAATGTTTTTGATGAGAATTCACCATTACACTTAATGAATGTAGAGAGCTAGTTGACTGGAAGTCAGATCTAAGTGTGTAGATTTTCGCATGACGGATTAACGGAATACTTTGCTTGTATTTTGGTGAGAATTTTCTAGACTAGATCCAATTAGATGTTTCACGATAAGTTATGGTTTAGAAGAACGGTCACTGAGATATTGTTTAGTTCCTGCGATTTTTCAAAAAAAAAATTCTTTCCTGACTTAAGTTTGTTTGAGGACAAACAAAAAGGTAAGTCTGGAGGAGTTGATAACACCTTATTTTGACCACTTTTATGGATCACAATAAAGTCTTATGCAGGTGTTTTAACTCTGTTTTCAATGTTTTTAAAGTGTTTTCAATGTTTTAGAGTTTCAAAAGACTTTACAGGAAACTTGGGCAAAAGATATGCAATTTGGAACAAATGAGCAATTTTGGATAAATGCAGACCGTCAGAAGTATGACAAGCGATGAAGACCTTCTCACCGTCTAATCACCCCCAAATTTTGAGACAACATAGAGGATCCAACCAGCTTTCTAATGCACTTGGTTTGGAGACAATCCAACGGTTAGATCTTCATATACTCCCGATGCAAGAATGACAGAAAATGCAGTTCCGGAAGAGAGCATGTGCCGGGACCGCGGCCAACACCCATTTTCCCGTGGGAAGAGCCACCACGACCGCGGACTTTGGTCGTTCACTTTCCCGACGACTTAATTAAAGCCCAGATCAATTCCTTTCGTTATTTTTGAAGCCCTGAGTGTCCACAACCACTCCAGAAGCTATAAATACCCCCTTTAGGTCATTCTAAAGGGTGTGTTCCTTTCTGTACTTAAATTTTCGTGTGAGACTCAAACCCTAGAGAGGGAGGCCGCCGGTTTTGAAGGAGGAGCCGCCGCCGAGGAGAGCATCATCGCGCCTCCGTCGTCGCTTCCGTTCTTCGTTCTTCTTCCTTCTTTTCTTTAATTTCCTGCACTTTCAATACTCTATGATGCTTTGTTACAATATGTTTGAGTAGTTACCCTGTTGGGTTTAAAGGGATTATTCAAAGGGAATTTCATGTGTCTTTGCTTATGAATCGATAGATTTAGGATTATAATCTTCTAGATGTTCTTCGTTTGCCTTTAATCTTACTGCGTGATTCTTTGCTGGCCACTTAGAAGCCGATCTGATATGATATGTTGCGAAAGCTTTCATTGATTTTCTGAACTAGGGTGAAATGAGCAATTCTTCTATAGGAGTGGAAACCTACCTGTAGTTGAGTTGTGAATATTGATGAGTCTTGTTCTGCTATTGCATCTTCTCCCTTCCAGAATCAGAGTGGAAACCTACTGATTAGGGTTGCGAGAGATAGTTGTTTAGTGCTGCGAAAGTAAGCTATTCATACGTAGTTGATTACCTTTATCATATGCTTAAAATCGACATAGCCTAGTCCATGAACCCCTGCAAAACCTCTTGAGCCCCAACGTTTGTTTTTAATCGCTTACAACCTTCGTATTCCTTTGCTTTTCATTCGCTTATTTTCTTGTTTCCATTATACTTTCAATCGCTATTTACTTGCCTTCTATTCGCTTTGTTCAATCGCTTTTTACTTGCTTTACCTGCTTTAGTTTTCTTTCAATTGCTTTTTACTTGCTTTCTAGTTTAGATTTAGTGACAACCAAAAACCCAAAACCAAAACCAAAACCCTTTTTGTTCTAATCTGATTTAAGCGTTGCGTTGAATTCGTACTGAAACAACTAAGTCTCTGTGGATCGATACCCTAAGTACTACAGCGCACATCTGTGCACTTGCAGACATTTAGGGGTTATAAATTTAAAACCTGAAGCTTAGTAAAACGAAAACAACCAATCCCGTTTACAACTCGCATCATATTGTAAGTATAAATTCGATGAATGTGAATTATTTTTATAGTTATTATATATAATTATATATGCATTTAACAAAATTTTATGTTCTATATATATTATAGATGGATAAAACAAAGAAATTGATACAAGATCCAAAACTTAAAAAAGTTTGATCATGTGTGGGAGTTGATGAAGGATATTCCAAAGTTTACAGATAATGTAAACATCAGTATCCCGGATAGTCCAAATACTGGGAGTGATACGGTCGGTTCTCCAACATCACACTCTCCGGGAATGTCTACATTTTCAATCAATTTAAGTAGTGAAGATGGTGGATCAAATGCACTACAACGTCCCATTGGGTTGAAGAAAGCAAAACTTAAAAGAAAAATTTGATGAAGGTAACGATTCATCTTGTGATACTTTGGCTTCATCAAATGAACAACTCCTCAATTTCTTAAAAGATAATTCATCAACTAACGGAAAAGCTTATGAAATGGCTCAATTACGTATGCAAAATCAAGCAAAAAAATTGGTGCTAAAAGAAATGGAGGAGAAAAATAAAATATTGTTAACAAATTTGTAATCTATAGAAGATAGTAATACACGTGAGTTTCTTCAAACTGAACAAGCAAGAATCATAGAAAAAAGAACTTAAGAACAACAACAAACTCCGATTGCTCCAAATTATAATGGACAATTTTTTTGTGATCTTGGAGGTTCAGGATCCAATTTACCAAATTATTAGTATTGTTGTATGGTTTATTTTGTGTAATATTTATGTGTTTAGTAGCTTTATTTTTCTTGTGGTGATTTATTTTGTGTGTTTTGATGTATTTTTATTATATTTAATTATAAGAATGTCATGTAATAATTTTTTTATATTGGTAATATTAAATTTCAAGTATTTATTTTTTTATTAATGATATTTAAATTTCTAAATATACATTTTACATTTATATATTTAGAAGATATCTAATTGTATGGACTAAAATAAAAAGAAAAACAAAAAGTATGTTTATTGATAAGATATGTAATTGTGGAGACTAAAATGTAAAGTAAACAGTGTTTTAAAGGTTTGAATAGTGGATCCTCAAATTTGAGGTTTCACTATTCAAAACCTCAAAATTTGAGGGTTTAAGGGTTTGGTTGGAGCACAAAAAACCTCAAATTTGAGGATTTAAGGGCTGGGTTGGAGATGCTCTAAACTAGTCACTCGAGGTATATAAGAGTAACATGATATTTATGAAAAATATACAGTATTTGAATAATATGTTTTCCTTTTCAACAAATTATGAATAGTAATAGGTATATATCGACATTTTCTTTAAGTTAAATTGATAACCCATAGACCATCTCTAATTTTGGAATATAAATATTTTATTCCACATATTAGTATGTACAATATTTAAGTTAATTTTTTCCTCCTATTTTTAAGAAATGAAAGAAGGGGAAAACCTAAAACTTCAGAGCTAGATGATCGATTTTCAAAACCTACGATCATAAGACGAATTAAAATTGTTTATAGAGAGTGTGTTTCAGTACGTGGAACTGATCTGCCAAAACATACAAAATATTTTAACTTAGTGCAAGGTCGTTTGAATATGGGGCGTGTTAGCCATTTTTAATATCTTTAGTTCCAAGGCTCAAACTCTAGCTGTCTACAAACAACCCATTCAGATTAAGGGTTTTCAGACTGCACCGAGTGATATAACTTTACACATAAAAGACTTGTCCAACGTTCAAAAGGGACTCATGAGGAACATTGAAGATGGCATTGTTCCCCCTACAAATCTTCTTAAGAAACGCATAAACATAATTAATGGCTATCTTCTTGGGAAGCGATGAACCTTTTCTTGCTTTCACTACAATGTTTCCTAGAATATGAACAACCCCTGACTTTCTACAATTCTTTAGAAACTCTAGCTCATCTATCTCCTCCTCATCCACCATGATTTCCTCGCCAAGACTCGCCATGTTGCTCGGCGAACCAAGGGGGACGACCGTATCCAATGTTGATACCGTGTAGTCCACGATTGAAGACAACATCTCTATCTCTTTGTTGTGGATCAATATTTCTCTGGACTGTTCCGCCTGGCTGCAGATAGAAGCATTGCTGCTGTTTCTTGAGCTCGCAACTGGCTCCATCATTCTTTCGATTCGAATGAAAGAAAACAAGTTGGTGAATAGCTTGTTCTCGAAATCGTCGTCTTTCTTGTGTAGATCTTTGTAACCGTACCTGTTGATATATATACAAGGGTATTACAAAGACACATAAGCTTTATTGGAAAAGACAGAGAAAGAAACCAAGAAAGTACCTGGCGATGCACCGGAACATTCGGAATGTCTTGGATCCAATTCTCTTCACGAGGAACCTCTCTTCTTCGGGGACAGTATAGACAGGGAGGTACTTGACGCAAACAAAGACAACGACTGAATGAATGGCAGGGAGGTTAGTGATGAAATGAGAGAAGATGTGAGGAACGCCACTTGCTAGTTCTGAGTAAACTATCCCAATCCCTGGGACCCGGACAAGGCCAAGGCTAGGACCGAGGCCGAGGATCCAGCTCATTGACACTTTGCTATGCACCTGGAACTCGTATCTTTTGACTTTTACATAATGCCAAACCAACATTACAAGAAGTAAGACCGCTGCTACAACTAGTGGAACCCATCCTCCTTGATTGATCTTTAAAAGCACGGCTGAGAAGTAGGCTCCTTCCACCACGAGGGATAACACGGTGAATATGAGGACGAGAGCCCAGTGGCACCTCCACACGAGTAGCATAAGCAGCACCATGAGTAATGTGGTCACAAGCATCACAACCGCGACCGCAGTCCCTATTTTCCACCAGAGAGAATAGAGATAGTCAGCCAACAGTTTTATCAAATGGTTTAAAGCAAAACAACATACCGTATGCATTCCCTATTTGGTTCTGATTCTGGAACTTAGCAGTGACGGCTATGCAACCGAGCATGAGTATCCAATTGATATCAGGGCTATAGATCTGACCAAGGAACTTCTTCGAAGTATGAACCACTTTGACTTGAGGAAAACATCCATGAGCCACAGCTTGCTTGATTATCGAATATGTTCCTGATATTGTAGCTTGGCTTCCAACAACCGCGGCTAGTGTAGCGACTATAAACATTGGCCAATATATACTATCTGTAGATTCAAAGCAAAAGAGAGACTCTCAATTTTTTGTATGACTTCAGATCAGTAATAGGCTTGAGAAAGCTTTATGACAAACCTGGGATAGATTCATAAAACGCATTTGCAACGTTATCCTTGTTTTCAACAAGGTACGCAGCTTGACCACAATATGCTAGAAGAAGACAAGGGAACACGAAAAACGTAAAGGCGAGTTGTATAGCTAATAATGGGAAATAAGCAATGTCGTCATATAGTGCCTCAGTCCCTGCATTGTTTTCAGGATAAACAAGAAAGAGAAGAAGCATTTAGAGATGGTTTCAAAGATTTTTTTTTGTTGGAGTCTTGCAAATAAAAGAAAAATAGTAGTAAACCTGTTATGCTGAGAAGAATTCCCCCAAGGGAAATCCAACCATCTCTCCCTCTTCTTTTGAAGTACATGAATACATATGTGGGAGAGAAGGCTTTTAAAACTCTTGAATCATATATGCAGATGTTGTATAATCCGGTGCCTCCAATAAAGAGAAGCCAAATAAACACAATAGGTGCAAAGAGCCATGCAACTTTGTCTGTACCATACTTCTGCATACTGAACAGACCCACCAAAATGAGAACAGCCACGAGCACAACTGTGTCTAAAAGCAAAAGGAAATGGGGAATTTAGCAATTGACAACGGGTGAAGAACAACAACAATCCGGTAAAAAAAAGCATACCGCTGCTCATCTTTGGATTGTTAACTCTGATCCCACCAGTAGCTGAAAGAACTGAAGCATGGATAATGTTATAAACAACCACTCAGTAATCCAAGAAATGCAAAGCAAAGAGAATCATATATTCGTACGAACCAGAGATGGCCGGAGTAAAGATGCCATCACCAATCGTCATACAAGTCCCCACAAGAACAATGATCAGAAGCGCTCTCTTCCTAGAATCTTTCTTCTCCAACCAATTCATCGTTCTTGCAGCCAAAGAGCCTTCAGGCAAGAAAGTACGACTATATGTGGTGAGGTCCTCATCACTTCTTTGCTGGTCCGGGATTAGTTTCAGTTTACCATTTCTGCACAGCAACGAGTAAATAGCTAGAGTCCCACCTACACACATTGATAGATTTAGGACCAACTAAACCAGGGGCTTTACTCACTTTGAACAGATCAATGAGACCCGTTTTACTATCCAAATCGGAAATTTAAAAGGACCAACACTAGTGTATAACGGATATGTGCCAATCCACGGTATTGAGTTGAAAGCCCATAATAAGCTCATATATAACCTACCTTGACCATTGTCATTAGCTTTGCAGACAATGAAGACATACTTGATGAGAGGAATGAGCAAGAGAGAGTAAATGATCAAAGAAAGTGCTCCGATCACATCCTCAGTTTCATTTATTCCGTTAGGGAACGTATTATAAAACACGTACAAGGGAGAAGTCCCTAAGTCGCCATAAACTATCCCTAAACTTTGGAAGGCCAGCCTCAGAAGCATCAACGTTGACAAACTCTGAATACAAATAGACAACAAACATAATAAGATAAGAAAGACTCAACTTTCTTTATATCAGAACTTATATGATTGAATCAGCATCATCAATTTTGTCTCATAGTATCAAAATCCGGTGTAAATCATTGGTGAAACGACTTAAAAGTTTTGTGTTATTCAGTTAAGTTTTTAAAACTGAATGTTATTCAAAACTAAAAACTTGAATTTTTTGAAACTGAATCATTGAAATGAATTACAATTAAGTTACAGTTCATGAATAAATTTTAGGGAACAAAATTAAAGATATGACATAAATATTTCACATATGAATTCTCTAAATATTTCATCAAAATATTAAAATTTGAAGACTATATAACACTTAAAAAAAAAAACTATATCCATGATTGAATAAAACCCATCAAAAAATCAATTACCTTATCCTCATATCATAGTCAAATAAGAACTTTCTCAATTCCAGACACTGATTATGTTGATCGTTCATCTTCTTTGAGCTATTGAATGGAGATGATACTCTAAAAATATTAAAAGAAGGAAACGTGATAAGTTATAAAAAGTGTTTACCTTCTCTTTGTACATGTTCTTGAGTCTATTTGCTTCTTCATCCATGGGCTGATCAAGTTTCTGCTCTAAATCCCACATAGCTTCTATGTTTCTCCCTTTAATCGTTTCCTCTCCTTCTCCTATTTCAGCCATTTTGCTTTATATCCAGAAACAGCAACAAAAATTCCCCAAAATTTTCAGAGAAAGCTAGAACTCTTTGGAGCAATTTTGCCTGAGACGAGACCAAAACTGAAAGAAGTGGCTTAGATTTATGAAAAGATTAATTAGCTATAATAAGCTATGTACTTATGTACTATCAAACTCTGGGACTGACTAAAAAAGGAGGTGAAGAAAAAGAACCTAAAGATTCGAAACGAAATAGACTATAGAATATAAATAAACAAATAACTCAGATCTATCAATCAAATAATAACCAGATCTCTGATAACAATGAAGATTACGCGAATAAAACACGGATTGGAGAAATGATTTGTTTTTTGTTCTCTTCTTTGTTTCAGATATTTTTTTCTTGGTATATACTTATTTCTTTTAAATATGAAAAGGACAGCGACTTTACGAAGAGGTAGGGAGAGAGAAGCATTTAAGATACAAAACTATATAATATTCACATTTAATTCGTTTTAAAATATGGGCACATACAGTATCGGCTAGTGGCCATGGAAAGGGCGGTTGTGGTGCACCAACGAAGTTTTGACAGATTATAAAACCGTCAAAAGTTCGTCAGCAAATTTTATCAGAATTACCTTTTTTGTGTAATGGTGGCTATGTAGGCTATGTTTGGAGGCTTGCAGCTAAGCCAGATACAATTTTGTAGCTAAAAGTTGCGAGTCTTTTCTACAGTTTTCTGTGGCTAGCTAGTGACTTTGATACCACCTCACCATTGGTTTTTGAGTGGCTTGTCCAGGCTCGTGGCCGCGACAGTGCCGTGCCTCATGTGTTAAAAAATAAGCATTTGCCTAAGACCACCCAAAATATTACTCCATATTAAGGCCACATTTTTTTCTAATTTATCTATGCACATATATATATATATTATTTAGTCTGATAAATATTGTTGAGGTTTTTATTTGAGAAAAAATAATACTAAAATATTTTTTAATATAGATATATATATATATATATATATATATTCTGTTTTATAGTATTCAAGATCAACAACAACAAAAAAAAAGAAAACTAATCCAAAAAAAAATTTCAATACTTAAAAACAAATCTAAAAAATATGCTTTAATATTTATATATTTTAGCTACATTATCAAATTTTATGTAAAATTACTACTTTTAATTTTATTTCATTTTAATAAAAAAAGCTATATTTTTAGATTTGTCTTAAGCTACCGTATGTTTAAGCACGGCACTAGGCCGCGACATAGTAGTGGGTACCCTTAGGTTAGCTAATAACCACTCTAAGTTAATTAGTGGTTTTCTCTGGTTATTTCTATGATAGCTCTGGGTATTATACAACACTGAGAAATTGTACGACTAATTAAATAAGCGCAATTTATAAGCAGTGATGATTTGGTGCACATGCATCTCCACTAACGCGAGTACGTGACCACTTGGGATTAGAATAACCTGAAAATATATGGCCATGCCCTTCCACTTCATATGTACTTTTTCTAACAATATTTTACAGTTTTATAGATTAACTAATATTTGATACAAGACAAAAAAAGTCCGAGGTATCATGGGGAGACCTAGGGAATGATTAACCTTAACACGGAGCCCACACGGTCTCTTTTTCTTTTCGGGTTTATAAGATCACTTAGTGGAGATGATTGAGCTTTATTAGCAACCAACTCAAAATAAATTATTAATGAATGAAATGATATGTGTTTCTTATATAACTGTTAGATTATAATGTAGGTTTCATATAACACCAAAGAAACTATATTCAAATGAATTGGCCTATGTGCACACAATCATAGACAAAATAAGTCAACATGCAACAAAGGGAATATTTGTTGGGTATGCACATTGAACAAAAGTCACAAGTTATGGTTACTAGAGGAACATAAAGTTGATATGAGTAAGAATGTGGTCTTCTATGAAGAAAGCTTGTTTAAGGATTTGAACTCAGATAGGGTAAATCAGCTGAAAGTGGAAACTGAAGCCGAAGAAGAAGGTTACTTTCAGCAAAAGACCTAGTACATAGAAGTATTCAAAGAAGATGAATCTCCAAGGGAAAGTTCAAATCGAGGTGGAGCAGATCAAAATTATATAGTGACAGAGTCATATCAAGAATAAAAGTCAAGTTCACCAGAATAGGTTGATGAAACTGATACAAATATTATGACAGAGAATCTGGACAACTATCTGTTAGCCAAAGATATGTGTGGAAGAAGGGATACTCCATCAAATTATGAAGGCACATATTTTGTTGCATATGCATGCTTTAGCGAGTGAAGAAACGATAAATCTTAGTGAACCAGTGTCATTCATGGAAGCTAGAAGAGGCGCTTTGGAATTCGAAAATGGATTCGCTGGGTAAAAATCACACTTGGGATGTGAATGATAAACAAGAAGAGCGAAAGGTTATTGGCTGTTAATTGAGCTATAAACTTAAGATTGGAATACCTGAGTGGAACAGCCAAAGTATAAGGCTAGACTTGTTACTAATGGATAACACAAATCGAAGGAATATATTACATTGAGTTTTTTGCACCAGAAAATCTTTATACGGTTTAAAACAATCACGAAGGGAATAGAATCTAGCATGATTTAGTATATCCACGTATGTATCACATTATCAAAGCTTTTTTTGTCTATCGGTATTTATATTAATTGTGCTAATTTCACCTATAAGCTTAATGTTTACAGTTGTTTTTGATTTATAAGGTGAAAATTTGACAAACCCATTTTCCAACATGTGACATGAAACAAAAAGGAATATCAATAATTTTCTTTTGGTCTAAAGACTTTGAGAAAACCCAACGATTAACGATGGGTGGCGAAAAAATTGATCTACTGCAGAATTATTGCTATTACATAAAAGCAGCCACATAATTGTATGATCATGTAGAGAATTGTGATTGAGTTATTAAGTAAATTACAAAATCGTACACATATACCCTTAGTAGACGAAACATCTTCAAAAATTGGGAAGATTTTATTTGCCTTTTGCTGAGTTATATCTATGTATGATAATATGATGGATGAAGGTATAAGAGTCGCCAAATGGATCTTCATGTTTATTTTTTGTTCATTTCATATACTGCAACAGTTTTTTTTTTTTTGTCAAGAACACAAGAACGAGTTTAGCTTCATTTATATGTAAATTATAAGTTAAGCATTCGTATCAATTTTTTTGATAGATTCAGTGATTCGAAAGATTTAAGAAAGTGTGATAAGACAACTAATTAATGAATTTTGAGTTCAAAATCAGTGCACAAAAAGTCAAATCTTTAAAATATTCTCTGACTAAAACATTGTGAACATAGGAAGAATCATCAAACCTGCCTAAACAATATGAAAATTTTGAACTGAACCAGTGAACCAACAACAATTTTTATAATTCTAATCCAAACGGATCCTTGTGCTTATTAACGTGGTTATCATGAGCACAACCAAAAACCACATTAGGTAAAAATGTGAAAAAGACACATTAAACGCTGGCATTTTTTTAGCTAATGTACCTTTACTCCATGTAGAATCCAAGTCTTGCATGGAGTACCAAAGATCTCGATCGAAGGTTAATCTAGGTATATAGTCTTGAGAGCTTTGGCAAGATTATTTGCAGTGAGTATAAGATTTAGATGATTGACTTTCTTTTTTCTTCAATATAATGTGTATGCGAAGTGTTTTACATAGTTATAAAAAAGTGTTTCAAAATAGAAATATGGCTATGTAAGACACTTCACACATATATTACATTGAAAAAAAAATTAATTATGATTAGAAAAATTAGATAATTTACATTAAATATGAGAATCAATACGTCAAATTAACAATAAATAATGAATAATAAACTTAATTCAAATAGAAAACATGTGATAAAATTTAACTGGAAACCAATTAATAATAAAAAAATCAAAATAAGTAAATTTAGTTGTTATTTAGTAAAACTTGTTTATTGGTTAGTGATTTGATATCGATGTTCTCAATCTTAATTTTTTTCTCAGTGATTTGATGTTTTCGATATTGGTGTGCTTGTCTTTAAATTTTTTACTTTTTAGTTTTTTTTACAAATTATAAAATATTAAATCATAATTTTTGCATATACGTGAAATTTTATTTAACTCATAAACGAGAAAGTTCATCAGTAAATAGGATAATCTATCACCGAAATCTAATGATTCTAAATTTTTTTTTGTCTTGCATTTTTCTGAAAATTCATTCATCTATTTCATTTCTAGCATGATTTAGTATATTCACGTATCACATTGTTAAAGTTTCTTTTGTCTATCGATATTGTATATTGCAAAGATGTGCTTGTGCTTTCATCTACAAGCTTAAATGGTCTACCGTTGTATTTAAAATATGAGACGCCATATTTGACAAAACTGTTATTCAACACGTGCCTCCAAAAAAAATCTATTATCAATGGATTTTTCTATTTTGTCTAGACTTTTGAAAAGCCATTAATGTATCAAAGATTAGTGATGGGTGGCGAAAAATTTGACTCATTGTTTCAAAACTATTGCAATTACAAAATAGCGTTCAGAAAATTCTATGACCATAGTAAATTATGATAAGTGCGCTTAGGACAAATAGAGTGATCAAACAAAAAAAGAATTAAGTTATTGAATAAATTACAAAAACGTACACATACATCTCAGTAGACAAAACATCTTCAAAATTTGGGACGAACCGTTTGCTTTTTGCTGATTTATGTATATGTATGATAATAAGATGGATAGTATGAGTGTTACCCAAATGGATCTTTTAAATTTATTCTCTGTTCCTTTCATATACCGTAACAGAGTTTTTGGCTCCTCAAGCAAGAACACAAGAACGATTCTTAGCATCATTTGTTTCCTCGACTAGGCTCGGTTATAGTTCCAAGAAATTTATCCTGTTCCTGACCAGAACCTTTCATCGTCTGTGGTTGCTTATTCTGTCCTCCCTGCAAATAAAACGTTATAGACAAAACTTAACTCTCTCTGCAACATAAGAACAAACCATTTGTGTTTGCAAAAGAGTGTTTTAACTCACAGCTCCCTTTTGTGCAATCAACCTCCGGCTTGAAGGAGCTCTAGCTATTGATGAAGCAGCCGCTGCTGCAGCTACTCGAATCCTACAAAAATGGGAGATTTCTCAGCAACTCAACATGTTATTACTAATGCCATAAAGAGTATCAAAACCAAACCTTTTATGTACGTCAACATATTCATCTGTTTCATCAACAATCTCTTCCTGCAAAAGCTCTTCAAACACATCTTCCAAAGTGATGATACCTATGACTTCCCCATCCTCTATATCTTCTGAAGTATGCGAGAACCCGTGTGGCACAGCCTCGTTGCTTTGAAACATCAATTGTCTATTAGCCTTGTCGATTTGGACAACGACATTGTCGTGGTTTCCTTCTCGTTTTAGCAACAGAGGCGCAGTCAAATCCGAGGCATTGCTTTCTTCAGTGTTTTCTTCGAGCAGTGTTGAAGGAGGAACTTTGTTTTTACCCTTGACCTTGACAACTGCAGCCATGTGACTGCTTCCTTTTTGAAACTCATTCAGTATATCATACAGTGGCATATCAGCTGGAACCCTATTGAAAAGCATTATAACAACACTGATCACAACACGAAGTTTCGTTCTACACAGAGATCATCAGAATTAGTAATGGCAAAAACCTTGGAATTCTCCGTATACAAACTGCACTGACAAGGGTCTCTGTCTCAGGGCGAACAGTAAGTAGACTCTTTACCTAGCAAACAGAAGAGTTTCTTGTTTAGAGTTTGCAAAAACATGACAAGAAACCATTGAAACATGCAAACAAGAGAGGTAACAACACTTACCAGGAGAAGACCGATAACATTTTTTGGATTTCCAGAGTAGACAGGGACACGGCTATGGCCTCGTGCAAGAATCTTACCCATAGCTTCCCTGTGAGGTTATTTACAAGCAGTATAAGACACAGATCCGGAGATAGTTACAGAAACGAGCACCGTGCAAGAGTTTTCAACATTAGTAATAGAGGAACATTGAGACAACAGGTAAAAACTATTTTCTTACAAGTATGACAGTTTAAGAATCAAACTCACCAATCCAGCTTTGAATTTACATCCAAGGAGAAGGTCGATTCAATCGGCGTCATGGCTTCCTGTGCAGTCTGGTAAAACCAAAATACACCAGTTTTTGCATGAATAACTCTCACTAGTTCTATACAGATAAATCCATGATTCAGGAGTTGTAGAGAGTGAAATTTTTATCTACCACATACCTTCTCGGTCAAATCAAGTGCTCCGCTTATGATTGTGGTCTCATCGTGCGTAAGTTCACCTCCCTTGCCAGCCTAAAAACCATAGTCACAACCAAAACAAGGTAGCCAAAATTAGTAACCCTGAAACTCCAAAGTAGTCAGCGTCTTCAAAGTCTCTATAATACCTCTTGGCTGTGAATGGATACAAGAGCTTTCAACTGAGCCCGTCTAAACAAAGCGTCATTATGTCCCAACACCAAATCCAAGACCTATCCAAAAAGCATAAAAGAGGTTAAAACCAAAAAAAGAAGAAGAAAACATAACTCATGGTATAGAACAAGAATAAGCATATGATGAGAGATTCAGCAACCTTATTAGACAGGAAGAAAGTCATAAAATGCGATGCTCGAAACAACAATAACATTCTAGATTAAAGAATCAAGATATACCTTGCCGATAGGAAATGCAATCGGGTAGCAGAGAATCATCAAAATGCGGACAAGCCAGACGAAATTCGCTCCAACGGCGAGTCCATACCTCGTGCATATCGCTTGAGGAATAACCTTCAAAGTCGAAAACAAGAAGTGTCCTTGTTCAAGCCTTGATAAACCATATAAACTTGGATTTGTGAACAAGAGAGACTTCTATAAAAACAACATACCTCACCAAAAGCAAGAACGAAAGTGACCGAAAGAATAATAGCAACGTATTCATTGAATAACTTATCCAAGTATATAGGAAGACCCTGCCAATTTTCCATAAATCAAGTAACTTTAGATCTCACTCAAGCCCACTGTTTTCATGATAAAGAAGCAACAGAGTTTTGGAATCAAAAAGCAAGATACTTTACCTCCATTGCAACAGCATTGCAGAGAAGCAGTGTCACTAAAAGCTGATGCTGTTTCTGAACAACCGGGAAAATCGCAGCTGAAAAATCATTCCGACAAACAAACAAATGTAAGAAATTCAAACAGAATCATGATCAGATCAAAATTCAACATAGTAAAAACAGACGCAATCCCACGAAAACAGAGGAGATATTAGGAACAAGAAGAAGAATGAAGAAGAAGAATCACAGGCTTGTTTCTTCTCGTTAGGAGTGCCACTGCGTTGGAGAATCTCAAGCTCGACGAGACCGAGAGACATAAGCCCCAAAGTGAGACCAGACATAATTCCGGCGAAGAGAACGAGAAAACAAGAAACGCCGGCGTAGATGAACCACCACGGTGATCCAAACGGGATCGATTCGCCTCCGTTGGTGCCGTTAGATTGTCCGAATCCGGACAACATCCTCGCCGCAGCCACCGCATTAATCAGATGCATTTCCCTTCTTCAGATCCTCCAAAAGAGAGATTCAAAAGCCAATAGAGAAGAAGAGACTCTGATAATTGATTACTTTCGAACCTTAAAATGATGATAGACTCTGTATCTGTGATTCTGTGCAAGACACGGCCTTTGTCTTGGTCTTTTTATTTATTTTTTTGCCCCTTTTTGATAATTTTATAAATTTTAGGATCCCATCTCACCAACTTATCTGATTCAGTTCAGTACAATTTCTAGGACAAACGGAAAAACAATTTAAGACCCAAATTTAACTAGTTTTTTTTCAAAGTACCCTTTACTTCTTTTTTCGTAAAGTTTCACACTCTTGGAGCATTTACATTGAAAGTATTTTTTTTTCTTTTTCATTGAAAGTATTTTTCATAGGTATCTTTTTTGGTAAAATTTTCATAGGTATCTTACCTGCCGTAAAAAAAAAAATGGTATCTTACCATTTTTATAATAATTTAAGAAAAAATGAGATGGGTTCTAAACACAATTGTGGCTTAACCGTATAATCAAATTAAAATATTGATAAAACATTTTTTCAAGTCTCTAGAGATAGTTTTACAAACTTAAATATCGTAGCGTGTTAATAGAGAAGTTGTATAGAGCGAGACTAGAATGATCTCATAGAACAATTTGTTGAAGCAACAAATTTTCTATTTTAATAGTATTTAATTTTTTTATTGTTTCATTTTGCGTGAACTGTGTGAACAAAAAAGTTTTTAATTTAGAGTGATAAGTTTTTTCACCTGGACACGACTTATTCTAGTCGTGTCTAATCATAAATATCCAAATATGACCAATTCTAATATTAAACAAAAATGGTACTGTATCAAGAAAGAGTGTTGTTTAGTTGTCAATTGGATTTCTAAGATTTTCTCCAAAAATATAATAACCGTATTTGTAAGATGACTCAGATCGTTCTCGACTTCTCGTAGTCTCGTTCTTTTCGATAGAACGTGATTGATAATTATATGAGACCTTATTAACGTGATTTGACAAGAAAGACCTTATTAACGTGATTGATAATATACTTTCGACAGAGATCTTAATCAAACTTTCAATTCATTAGAATATAAGTTTGACTGCTATTTATTTTTCTTAGACCGTCAATAAGGTCTTTCTTCTTTCATGTTTCAAGCAAGTTTAACTGTCTAGATACTCTAGCTAGAACTGTTTTATGTAACCTATGTCTAGTTTTGAACAAGATTGCTTAAGTAATGAAAATCATGAATTGACCAAGAAAAAGACAGTCAATAAAGATATTTAAAAATAAGGCATGTGACTAAATCTTATTGTTTAAAAGATTTGGTTCTTTTATAGTATATATGTATATTTTTGGTATAATTTTTTTCTTTTAATCGTGTGAATAATATTTCTCTATTACAACATATAATTATATCCACATACAAGGATTCACAACAAATAATTCTACATCATGTTCTTGATAGATAGTTTTATTTTGACTAATGGATCACAGTGAACGATTCTACTTGCATCATGTTTAAAAAAATTTATAAAATTTTCAATATTAATTTGCATTCTCTATTTTTTTCGACATAATTTGCATTCTCTATATTAATTTCTATTCTCTAGAAATAGTTGTTTTAAGTATTAGTAAACCCATTACCTAATGATTTTTTTTTTTAACTATGACAGTTATTGTAACGCGCGAATAAAAAGACTATTGAAAAAATCTTTTAACTATGACATTATTGCCTAAGTTTCTAAGAACATCTCCATTCTTAAATCTGGGATGGGGTTTTTAAAGTTTTTTAATTATAAGTTTTTGATTAAAAAAAAAGTTAAGAATTTTTATGTTTTTTGCCTCTCCATCCTTGAATCTCATTAGGGTTTTTTTTATAAAAATTATTTAATATACGTAATTATTGATTTGATCATAATTATAAACATACAAAATTTAATAAAACCATCTTAATACTGCATTACATGAACTCAAACAAAAATTGTTTTATGGACAGAAAGTTGAACTTTTTTTAATAAAACCAATTTTAGAGATAGAATATTGGGCATTTTTGTTTTATGGCCCATTCCCAATTTTTAGCCCACACACACAAAAAAAAATTTCACCAATGCGATTCTACCACATTTTTAAGAATCTCCCTTATATGGAGTTTTTATCTAAGAATTTAAGAACTCAGGTTCTTAGCTTTTTAATGTTTTTTTAATTATTTTATTAGCTAATTTCCCTAAAAACCCCATTACATCCCAGCGATAAAAATAATTTAAGAGCATGTACATTAGAAAACCTCTCATTGAGGTTCTTAGCAATACTAAATTAATTTTTCTTTTTACGATGAATAGTGAAAAACTTCTTAGAGCATGATTAACGCTAAAACTCATTATGGGTCTTTTAGCTATTATTTAAATACTAGAAAATGATATGCTGCCACCTGTCATCTTGAGACGTCTCTTAATTGTCCCCAAATAAGAGACGTTTTTAATTTTGGTCTGTGAGTTTTTAGACTTTTATTAATTAAAAATTATAAAAGATCATGTGAAACCTGCGTTAATCATGCTCTTAAAGCATCATTAACGGTGAGACCCATATAGATCTCTTAACTATTTTTTCAGCATTAAATTGAATAAGAAATTTGGATAAAAAAAACCCCACACTTTTGGACTGTCCAATGGAAGAGATTCAGAGTTTCTTTAAAAAAAATCTTCATTTTTGTAATTTGAGCTCGTTAAAATTTTTGGCCCAAGGCCCAGTCTTCTTTCCCTTCTCGTTTTTTTCTCCTTTTATCGAGACACATGTGTATGACTGTATGTATCTCTCTCTTCCTCGACTGTAGCTGCAAGACTAAGGGAGAAAGAGAGAGAGATCTGCCGCTGCTGTCTCGCCTTCCCGTGTCACTGCTGCTGCGTCACCACCGCGCACAATCATACGCCACCACCGTCTCTGCACCACCACCAGTGTGCTTTTCACGCCATTAAATTAGTGTTGTCGAGAGTGTCGGGAAAATATTTTCTCCCAAATCTTTTAGCAAATAAAAGGCTGCCACGTGTGGGAGGAAACGTCTCTAAAAGTCGCGAAATAAAAAACGTTTCTGCCAAATAAGAAACGCGGTCTCAATTTATTATTATTTGGTTTCTGCTAGAAACGCAGTTGGAGACTGCGTTAATGATGCTCTTAGCGTTTTGTGCCTCCATTGGTGAATCCCGTTTACGAGTTTTTAAGAATAATTTTTTTAAAAAAAAAAAATTATTTAGTTCTTAATTTTAAACATACATTTCTTATAAAACTAGATTTTTAATTCATTACATAAAATTTAAAACATGTAAAATATAGATATTAAAATCGTAAAACGTTTAGTTGTAATCTTGAGAAGTACCAAAATTGTTCCATATATGCTCAATTAAATCTTCTTTCAATTTTTGATGTATTTGTCTATCACAGACTTGATTTTGAATGCCGATCATATTGTCGAGATTTGTAGGCATATCTCTAGAATACGTCAAATCCACTTGTGAAGTTCTGCTTGCTTCTCTTTGTTCGAATTCTGATATATCATACTGAGTGTAGCTATCTCGTTCATTTTTTACTATCATACTGTGCAATATGATAAATGCTCACATAATCTTTCCAATTTTTTCCTTATCCCAGAGAAGAGCTGGATTTTTGACAATTGCAAATCGAGTTTGCAGAATGATAACACCTGATTTTGATCATATTTATGGATCACTTTTAGTATCTTATGCAGGTGTTTTCAATCAGTTTTGAAGGTTTTATAAGTGTTTTCCATGTTTTGGAGTTTTAAAAGACTTTTCAGGTTACTTAGGCAAAAACAATGCGAATTGGAGAAAAATCAACTTTTGGCCAATTTTGGACTGTCAGAAGTTTCACATGTTCTGCAGAGGACACAAGATCAAGCTCACCTTTTGATCAAGCTCAACTTTTGACACAAGATAGAGGACACAACCAGCTTTCCAATACAAGTAGAATAAAAGCAATCTAACGGTTGGATCTTAAGTTATTTCCAATTTACTGAAGACATGTTCTGTAGTCTCGCAAAAGAAGCAAGAGAAAGAATGAAGTTTGGGCATCATAGACCAACCACCGCGGTCCAGGAGCTCGTGACCGCGGTGAATACCATCCTGGCCACGCCTCAGAACCTCCAGCCATAGTGGATCCATATTTACCAGCCTTGGAGAGCCCAATTCTGCGACAAGCCCATAAACGGCCCAATAGGCTGTTTTCAAGCCCAACTCATTCTCTCTGAAAAAGAAGCTCTAAGGACGACCAGAAACACTTGGAAACCTATAAATATGTACTTTAGAAGACCTAATTTCGTGTGTGCTCCTTTCTCTTGATAAGGAGGCACCCAACTTTTGTTTCTTAGGTTTAGATTAGGGAGATAGAGAATTTTCTCTTGAACCTTTGCTGTTTCTTTTCATCTATCTATTCAGTTTATGCAATCTCTTTTACTTTACTGATTTCCTATTTCAAAACCAATGATGATGTTGTCAAGCTCAGCCATGTCTGAGTAGTCACCTTGCTGGGTGAAGAGGGCCATCAAAAGGGACCCCATGACCGATGACATCTAGATTTTTTAGGTTAAAGGATTTCAATTTTAAATGATTCTCCCATTCATCCAAATATCAATGCGGTAACGCTGGAGTAGCTAACCAGTGTCCGATCCTATGTTAAATCCGAGCCACGAGAGTGTTGTATATGGGTTTCCTGAATTGGATCCTATGGATGGCACCGTCGTAGGAGACGAAAGCTACCTATAGAGGATACGTAAGCCGAGATGGATTCCGAGCTGAAATGCATGATCTTATTCTGGCATGTGAGCGAGAGTTAATTGTCATAAATAAGTGATTAGATGATTAGGGTGATGAGAGTTGGCTAATCTTAGAAGTGTCTATCCTAGTTTCAGAATCACAGAAAATCCTTACCTAAATTCCTTGTGTCATATATCATGAATCCTAGAGATGAACCCTAATGTCTGCCATGTTTTTCATCCTTGTTTTTATCTATTTTTACTTCCTGTTTAGCTTAGTAAAACCGTGACACCAAAACCCCATAAAAAACCCCAATGGTCTTTGATTTCGATTACTAATCCAGTTTGAAGTTTCTGCAGAAAAGACAACTTTTCCTGTGGATCGACATCTAA